AAAGTGAGGTTATAAGTTGAAGTATTTACTGAAGGATTTACTGAAACACTAAAACATTCACAGTAAAGCACATTACAAGCTTCAACTGTCAGATTTTACACTAGTGCTGCCATCAGTGTTTTACCCAATTTGGGAAAGTCAATGTACACCGCCGTTAGCTTGGTATTTGTCTTTACGCTCTCCAAGCTGGGACTGACTTCTTTGGCACTGACAGTATAACATGTTATCGACACTACTTATAATGCATTATATTAACAATTCATAATGTATAATAAACATGGCTATAAAGTTTAATTCACTTTTATAAATGTTTATAATCATGTGTACAATGCCATATGAATGCATTATAACATGTTATAAATGTGTTTATAGATGCTTACAAACGTGACATTCATAGAAAGTGTTACCGATAAAACATATTTTTGTAGTATTTTAAGTATTAATATTTCAAATACAGGTCAAAGTAGATTAATAAATCACTTTCTGTATTTATTTGCATTTAACACAATTCTAATGTCATAAAATTGGCTTTGTACATTTGTGTATGTGTGTGTGTGTGTGTGTGTGAGAGAGAGAGAGAGATTAGCGTGTGTGTGAATGAGTGAGTATAGCATTAGTGTGTGTGTGTGTGTGTGTGGATTTTAAAGTTCTATTTTTGGAGTTTGTGTGTGTTTCTCACTTTCTCTATTCGCTGAATTGCTGTTCATATTTGAGTTGTCAGTGTTTCTGATAGATCATTATTTCTCTCTCAGGTTGGGTTACTGTAATCTCACAGAGAAAAGCTGTGCACTTCTGTCTTCAGCTCTCAGCTCAAACTCCTCAACTCTGAGAGAACTGAACCTGAGTGGGAACAAACTGCAGGATTCAGGAGTGAAGCTGCTCTCTGCTGGACTGAAGAATCCACACTGTAAACTGGAGACACTGGGGTGAGACCATCACTCTCTCTCTCTCTCTCTCTCTGACTGTTTAACTGGTTAAACTGCTTGTTTGTGTTCAGCTGGGTGGGGGGTGGTGGTGGGGCCTGGTTTCACTTCCTCCTTTAGTGCTGCTGCCCTCCAGGATGTGAGTTTAGTATTCTGAGCTGACTGTCAGTGTGTCAGAGTCACAGTGCTGTGAGTTTAATAGACTAAGCTGATGTTAAAGAGACTCAGTTTATAGACTAATGATGCTCTCTCTCTCACACACACACACACACACACACAAATACAAACATACACATACATTTTTTTCAATAACTTTTAGTTTCTGCTGAGAGTGTGTCTGTGTGAGAGACATTGCATGTACATTAGTAATTGTGAGAGTATATACATGTAGTGTATGTAGGTTTTAATGGTTGTGTTTTTTTACTTTGAACTTGTGTTTCTCTTTTTGTCTTAATTTTATCTACTGAGTTGATGTTCATGTTTGAGGTATCAGTTTTTCTGATAGATCATTTCTCTCTCAGGCTGTGGGGTTGTGATCTCACAGAGAAAAGCTGTGCAGTTCTGTCCTCAGCTTTCAGCTCAAACTCTATAAGTCTGAGAGAACTGAACCTGGGTTTCAATAAACTGCAGGATTCAGGAGTGAAGCTGCTCTCTGCTGGACTGAAGAATCCACATTGTAAACTGGAGACACTGGGGTGAGACCATCACTTTCTGTCTTTGGAATGAAACCTTCACATATTAAGTAGATACAAGATGATTTAATTGATTAAGATATTGTTTGTGTGAGAAAGAGTATGTATATTTCTGTGTTCTTTCTGATATTTTGTTTTTCAAAATTTGATTGTAAGATGATGTTATGGAAATTAATAACGACATACGCTTTTCTTCTCTCTACAGTCTGTATAAGTGCAGTATTACAGAAGAAGGCTGTGCTGCTCTGGTTTCAGCTCTGAAATCAAACCCCTCACACCTGAGAGAGCTGAATCTGAACTCCAATAAACCAGGAGAGTCAGAAGTGAAGCTGCTCTCTGATCTACTGGAGGATCCACGCTGTAAACTGGAGAAACTACAGTGAGTTACTGAATTACTGTCTCTGTACACATATTCACTCAGTGGACGATCTACAACATTTTAGAGCTCAGCCTTCTCCATAAACACACACAGACACAGATTATTGTATCTGATGGATCTTGAGGTCTTTTCACACACTGCTTTTCTTGAGTGTGTCAGTGAGTTACTGTTGTGGTGGTTTAATACTTCTTAGTTTAATCCACCTTGTTGACTTAAAATGTGTCGCTTTGACTCCCACAAAATAAAAAAACAGTAAAAAGAATAAAGTTTAGATGAAGCTGGTTAAAGAATGTATTGCAATAATATTTACAAATAAATGTACAAAGTGTGTCAGTATTGCAGCCATGACCCACAGTTAGGCTCTCTCTCTTTATAATCAGCTTGACCTGTAGGGGGCGACTCACACTGAGAGAAATTAATACAACACTAAATCAACATTCTAGCTGAGGCTCCTACAGCTGTCTTCATGAGTGAGTCTATGAGAGAATCAGAGCTGTTTATGGGCCCTTTTCACAAAGAGTCGTGATTACTTCCGGTTTAAGCATTAGCAGAGTAAAACTAACTTCCGCTGCATACAACTACTGCAGAAGTGATGACAACATGCTGTAGTAGTGAACTATAATGCTCAAATACTGAACTGCAACAAATATATGCTAGTTTTCGTGCACTATCATGACCAAAAGTGAGAATAGAAAGTGAATGGAAGCACTGATTTAACTTTAAAGAGAGCTAAAATGCTGTGTGTGGTGTAGCCCTGTTTACTGCTGTTGCAGCTGCTCACATGAAGCAGCCTCTCTGTTTTTGTACAACATTCCAGCGATTTCTGTAATGTTTCTGTTTTCAAAAGAAAGAAGAACTTTTATATGTGGTATGAATTTGGGAGACGTTGTTTAGCTGTAGCTAGCTAGCTATGCTAGAAGCCATTAATAACTGTAGCTGTGTTCCCAAACAAGGAAGCTAGTTAGTTTCCATTAGCTGCTGGCACCAGCCGGCTAACGTGGAACAGATTCTGTGACACATTTAGCTACAGGATGCCAGCGACTTCTGACATAAACACAAACCAAAAACTTTTACATGTGAAGCCTATTTGACAGACCTCGTTTAAATTGTTTTAGCTTATGGTCGGCTAGCAGGCTAGCATCGATAATTAGCCAGCCTACCATTAGCAGTTTGAGGAGCACAAGCTTCATATGAGTAGCAAACTGGCTAGCTATGTTAGTGATCTGCCAAACAGGATTATTCCTTTAGTTTCATGGCAATTTTTGAAGCAGTACTTCAGAAAACAGCCAGCTTTCACTGCTCAGTCAAAAACACGACTCCTAGCTAACTTGTATCTTACCACTGCGGTTATGCAGTGACATTTGAAAAAGCAGAAAGCTGCTTCGTGTCAGCCGGACAATCTAGTTTGGTTAGCAATAGCTTCTAGCCAACATAACTAGCTTAATATAAACGGAGTCCATCAAATTCCTGATACATATAAAAAGTTCTTTTTTCTTTTGAAAATGGAAATATTACAGAAATCTCTGCCATATTGTACGAAGAAACGGAGACTGCTTGATGTGAAGCAGCTGCAGCAGACTGCAGTAAAAACAAGGCTGACCCACACATACAGCATTTTAGCTCTGTTCAAAGTTAAATTAGTGCTTCCGTCCACTTCTTATTCTCGCTGTTTGTCACAACAGTGCAGGGAAACATAAAATATAGCTGTTGTAGCTCAATGTTTGAGCATTATAGTTCACTATTAAAACATTTTGTCATTGCTTCTGCGGTAGTTATATGGAGAGGAAGTGAGTTTTACCCTGCTAACGCTTAAACCAGAAATCATCACAAATCTTGTGAAAAGGGCCCATTGGTTTATTAGTGTTGATGAGGCTGTTTATCCTGATTGTGTCTGTGTGGAGTCTGAGTGCTGACTGTGATCAGTGTGTGTTCATGTCTGATCATACTGACCTGTTTCCTGTTTTACAGCATCTGGAAACACAGCTGACCTGGTCTGAGTCTCACACACACTGGGGGTTATGAGGAGAGGATGAAGTCTTATAGAATGAGGTCAAGCCCACATTGGTGTTGAGAGCGTGTACAGGAGGAGGAGAAGAGCCTGGTGTTCTGATAACAACATGAGGTCGACACTCAAACCAGTGGAAATGTTGATAGACTTTAATAAACTCCCTCTAGAAATCAACACTGGAGTCACGAGAGTGGAGGAGATCTTCAAGATCATGAAGACACCATCTCACACACACACACACACAGATATGAGAGCACAGAGAGGCTCCTGAAGAGCAGCTGAATGAGCTGAAACTCTGCTGCTTCCTGTGTTGTATTAGTGTGAAGTTTCTAAGATCAGGATTTTGCTTTCATGATGTTTTTACTACATTTAAACAGTCAGTGCTCACCATGCTGGGACATCATGTCTGTCAGTTCCTTGTGTGGCTGTATAGAAGCTTCTAAACACCTCCTTTAAAAATGTACATAAGAGTTTAAGACAGATTGGGCTGTTAAGCAGCTTGAATAGGTGAACTAAACAGTAACAGATCAATATCAGAGAAATGAAGAGCTTTTTAAATATAACATCATTGACGTACATAGAATGTAGTTTTTGTCTGTCAGAAACTGAAGACTTTCAGCCGTGATATTCAGTTTCAGATGATACTTCCTCACTACTGAAGGTCACTGAAATGTAGGGCCGCCCTGTTTGCCCTGTGGACGTCTTAGCTTTGACTAAGAGTCTGAAAATGGTGCCTCTAGACTTAAACTGGACTGGATCAGGCAAATAGACCATATTCTATTTTTACATAAGATGATATTTTATTATATATCACTTCTGTTATGCCAGATTCCTGTGCTTATCTTGATTATGAATAATATTGATGTCATGTAGAGTTTTATTCCAGTGTCATTTGTGCCAGTAGAAATATTTAATTACAGTAAAATTTGATGCACTTATTATTGGACTGTTCAACATTAATTCTTCCACAGTTCATGTTTCATTAAACACAGACCGATTCTGACCATCGTAGTGTATTTCTTTATTTTATGATCTTGATGAAACCTTTACTCACAGTAAGTGTGTTAGAGGTAATGAGATCCAAAAAGAAATATAGTTTTATTACAGCCTGTAAAATATTTCTATAATCAGGGTTTATAAGAAAATAATAAGTAATTATACTAAAGTCTTATTTTTTACCATAAATAATGATACAGCAATGTTTTTTAGTGTCATCCTAATGATTAATCTTGGCAGAGTTTTTTTACTCTTTTTTTCCACTGTGTTCAGTTTCATTACTACACCGATCTTTCCCTGAAGTAACTATGCACTGAGACCCTCTGTGTTGTTTTTAAGAAATTAAAACTATTTAAAAATATAAATATGTTGTTGATAATAAGTGGTGTGGTGATTATGTAGAGATCAGATTTAGATTTGAAAAATAAGAAGGTGGATCAGATCATAAATCAGCTGAAAGGGCGTCTTTCACCCTCAGTGCAAAATACACAAAACCTTCAAATAAACAAAAATGCAGTGAATTAAACAAACGTCCATAAATCTGTTTCACATCTGTGGAATAAAATTAATCTTTTTTTGTCTGTTTATTTGAGTTCAGCTCCTTACTGCTTCTTGTAAAGGCTTGGTCTGGGGTTGGGTTGTCTGTTATACCGATTTCGGCCAGTAGAGGGAGGCACAGAGTGTCTCCTTAGTAATAAAAGACAAGCAGCATCACCTGAGCCTGGCCTTACTTAAGGGGAGCTCTCAGTCAGCTTGGTGAGCAGCTGCACTCAGTCCTGAATTGAGCCTGACCACCTGCCACAGTCGTCCTGCACAATAGAAGATGTGGGTCTGATTCCACCTCAGGCCTGTTGACCTGTTACAACTTCTAAAATCAATCTTCAAATAAGATCTATTGATCACTGCATTAATCAGATCCACTTACATTCTGAAAACGCTGATGGAAAGATCTGTTAAAGTGCTGCTGTGTAGGAACACAAGAGAGACGTGTAAGTTGTTTAGTCTGAAAGGTGGGATTGAAGGAATTTGTAAGTTGCTGAATGTGAAGAGGAGAACATCTATTATCTGACCTGTAAAAGTTTCTCTTTATTTACTTTTTAAAAAGGAAAGTAACTAATTTCTGTGTGTGCGGCCCTTGTTTTTACATCTGGTTACAGCAGCTGCAGGCAGAGTGATCCACCATAGAGTCTGTGAGGCAGACTGTCCAGCAGGGGGAGCCACAGCCCACCTCAGCCCACTGAGTCTGTTTAACATCGGCTTAGTCTATTAAACTCATAGCACTGTGACTCTGACACACTGACAGTCAGCTCAGGATATTAAACACGCATCCTGGAGGGCAGCAGCACAATGAAACTAGCACCCCCACCACCCCCCACTCAGCTGAACACAAACAGTTTAACCAGTAAAACAGTCAGAGAGAGAGAAAGAGAGAGAGAGAGAGAGACAGTGGGGTGAATCTCAGATTTGCATTAACAGGCCTGAGTCGTCCACTTTCTCCCAGAATAGAGCAGCACTTTCAGTAGATGTTCAGCTTCCCTCCTTCACCTCTGACCCGTCCACTGTCCAGCTGACCAGCGCCCCCTGTGGAGAGTATCCAGACAGCAGGCAGAGCAGCGAGGCTGAACCCTCAGACAGCTGCAGAGAGGAGGGAGGGAGCCACAAATGTAAATTCAGTGGTGTTCTTTCATTTTTCTCAGTACATCTTTTTTAGATGTTTATTCAGTAACTGAGTGTGAGATTAATTAAATTAATAAACGCTGCTTTAGAAGAAGAAACAGCACTTATTATTCACAGGGAGTTTAGTTCCAACACCGTGATACATACAAAAATCTCACATCACTCTACAGTTACACCACACATACACACACTGTAGTTTTAATGTGTTTAACTCATTCCGTCTGGTTTATTATTCAATTATTAGCCTTAAGATTTAGCATTTATTATCTATTATTAATTATTTTTATGAAACTGATCTGTATGTTCTGTTGTTATGAGAATGAGGACTGAAATGTGACTCTTAGAGTTTAAAGGGTTAAAAATGTTCGTTTTTTATTTTAACTGTTTTTGTTTGTTGCCCTGCGATGGACTGGCGACCTGTCCAAGGTGTATCCTGCCTTCCGCCCAATGACAGCTGGGATAGGCTCCAGCACCCCACCGTGACCCAGAAGGATAAGCAGTTTAGATAATGTATGTATGTTTTTGTTCTTTATGATGGTCATCCTAAAGCAGAACTGTGTGAGTCTCAGTGTGGAGCTCTACTGTCTGTATAACCTGAGCTGATCTTTTCTGATCTGGAGGCTCTGTTTGAGTCTCTGTGGGGTTTGTAATGTATATATCAGAACTGTGTAAGTCTCAGTGTGGAGCTCTACTGTCTGTATAACCTGAGCTGATCTTTTCTGATCTGGAGGCTCTGTTTGAGTCTCTGTTTGAGGAAAAATCATGGTCCGGCCACCATCATCCCCTGACCTCAATCCTATTCAGCACTTCTTCACTACCAGAACAATCATAACACCACCCAAACATTACCAAATGTTCAGTAACGACCGTTTCTCACTTTCTGATCTAAAATTCAGAGGTGTAGCTTAATAAGGCTCGACATATGAACTAAAACACTTTGTTTTGGTAGTGACATGAAAATATGGGAAAGTATTTTTTGAATATTTTTTTTTATTTCAAAATTAAAGGCTTTCAACTTTGCATGTTGTCTTAAAACAACATTTAAAAACTACAATGAAAATATGTAAGTATTATGTTCTGAAGTGTAAATTTAGGGGTTATGTTTTGGGACAGCCACCTCCCAATATAGAGTATGCTATAAATTATGATGTGAAACAGGTCAGGCTTCATGTTTCTCATAACTGCCGTTATTTGTCTGATAAATGTGTGCAGTGTCTTACATTCACGTTCCAACACATACAATAGCATAATCTCTCTGCGCAGTGGGTACGAGTGTCCTACTGATAAGATCTGCGTCCTTTAATCCAGGAGTCCAGCAGCACAGCATGCTCCACCAGCACTGTTCCAGCTGGTGGAGCCCCAAAGCTACCATGCTGGATCATCTGCTTGTGGTCAGTGTGTCCATCCTCTCTCCTTCTCCACTGACACTCACTTCTCTGGTGGATTTAAAGAGAATAAAGCACTACAGGTGAGTTCTTCACTCTCAGTTCTGGAGCAGCTCTGCACTGCACAGTTTAGTGTTCTCTCTGCTACAGCAGCTCTGAGCTGGAGGGCTTTTCAACAATATAATCAAGCCTGAGTAAAGTAAAATCAATTAATTTATACTGGATTTCATTTGAGTTGTGCTCAAACCAACACATTAATACAGGATTTCAGTGAGTGATTTTTTTTTATAACAGCTATACTGTTTTTTGCTGTATACTGCATACTGTAGTCATTACACAACAGTCAACTTAAATGTTGTGTTTCCAGATTTTTTTCAAGAAGCCATTTTTTCCAGACACTCTGGCAATATCAGCAATTCACTGTTTAGCCACCAGAGGTCTCACTCTCCAGAGTACTAGCCTTGTTCTCAAATCAAACCACCTGTACCTCACTGCCTAATTAGTCACACCTTAAATACTCCTCCTAAGCAGCCAGTCAGTGCAAAGTATTGCCAGTTCACTTGTGTCTGACTATGTTTGGTCTGTTTTTCTGGTATTTTGAACCTCTGCTTGATGTTGGATTCTGTTTTTGCCTTTTGCCCCTTTTTGCTCTGTCTGCCTGGCTTTTTGGACTGATTTCACTGTTACGACCCTTTTTTGCTTAGCCTTTTGACATCGAGTTTTGGACTGCCCCTTTTGTCATTCAATCTGCATATGGATCCTTCTCAAGTTTCTAAGTCTGATTCGTCACAGGCAACTCATTACTCCACCCTCTGTAAACTGTACAAAAATGTCCAGCACCTCCTTGTTTAGAGGAAAAACAAACCAATTGATATATATTCTCATAATAATCTATTTCTAAAATGAATGACATAAACAGACAGTGCAGTTTAGTACTTAGTAGTGACAACAAAGTTAGTTGCAGGAAAATATTTTGTTACATTCTAAAAATATAAGCTACTTTCTACAACACTTACAGACAAATTCTCATGATTACAAACAGTTTCCTCCATTTCCACCTTTTAAGCAGCTCACTGTTTTCATGAGCCAGACTTTCATTCTCCTCTTCAACTGCACCAGGAATGCCTTTATTTACATATTACATATTTAAACTTTAAATATATGTACAAAGAAGTTTTTACTTCATGATCTTTGAAATGTGTGATACTGATTTGTTTGTGAGGGTCAAACCTCTGATTTTCTCAGGACAGACGGTCACTCTAGATGATGCTCACCAAAACCTTTACACCAAAGAAATATTTATTAGTTTATTTATTTATTTATTTGTGTGTGCGTGTGTGTGTGTGTGTGTGTGTGTGTGTGTGTGTGTGTCCAGTGAGAGAGGGTCAGCAGAGGGCTTTTCCTTTTCTCAGCTCCACTCATGACCGACAGTGTCTCAGTGGTTCAGACCATGTTGGTATCCATAATGTTGGTGGTTTGAATCTTCAGTGCAGACAGACAGTGAAACTTTGTCTACTGTGAATATTTGTGGGGAAACCTGGAAGCATGTGTCAAATTCAGCACTTTAATTCAATCCATTCCTTGTAAGTGGTACGGATAGCCTACTGAAAAGACCTTTAACCCAGGATTCCAGTAGCTTAGCATGTTAAGGTCTTTGAAGAAATTACAAACACTATTAAACTCTATATGTCAGTCATCTTACACAATGAGAACAAGGCTGTGTTAAATATGTACTGTTCTTCCTGCTTAAAATTCAGAGGTGTAGCTCAATAAGGCTCCATATAGGGACTAAAACACTTTGTTTTGGTAGTGACATGAAAATATGGGAAAGTATAATTTAAAAATTAAAGGCTTTCAACTTCACATCTTGTTTTAAAACAACATTTTAAAAACACAAAAATGCAATGAAAATATGTAAGTATTATGTTCTGAAATGTAAATTTAGGGGTTAGCATTTGGGACAGCGACCTCCCAATAGAAAGAATGCTATAAATTATGATTTTGGATATACTTAACTTATTACTGTCTACAATTATGCCTATGGCTTTTAATAGATCTGAACATAGTCCTTATAAATATTTAAGGTCTGAATACATCACTGTTCTTTTTAAATAGTTCCAAACAGTGCAGCGTCACAGTGTGGGGAAGTTTATGCAAGAAGTGTCTGTGATGTGAAACAGATCAGGCTTCATGTTTCTCATAACTTGTGCAGTTTCTTGCAGTTCTGGTCACGTCTGTTCACTCGGCTTGGTGAAGAGTGCTGTGAGTGGTTGCGCAACACATCACTGCTCCCTCTTCAACACGCAATAATCTCGGGGATCTGTGGTGCCACATCTAGTCCAACTGGTTTAGAGTGAAAATACATCTTCAAATGCGTCCATTTTGTGGAGAGACGATCAAAAGCACAGAGTTAATCACTGAAATTGTAGCTTTTTTTTTAGCTGTTTTTGTCACTGTAACTTTAAGACTGATATGTGTAAATGTTTAAATGAGCTCTGCAGTTGGGGCTGAAACACTCCTTCATCATGCATGGTTGGGTCTAAATAAACTGTATAAATGTTTATACAGTTTATATGTGATAATATGTTGATGTTTTGATGTGCTAATGAAGTTCTAACACTTCTATGAGGTTCATAACAGGATTAAAATCTCATAATTCATTTAATATAAGTCTGCTTTAAAAACCTGATTCCACAGTCTGAGATCAGCTACTCTGTTTTTCATATAACAAAGAACATATTTCACACAAAACAGATCACTTTTGATAGCATTTTCCTAATAATAAAAGAACTACAAGTACTATAAAGCTCTACACCATTCATCTTACATGATGGTAACAATGATAGGTTTCCAGTTCTTGTTAAGCACATACTTGTCACACTTGTTCAGCCAGAAAAGAGAAGAGAGTGCTGTGATTGGTTGAGCTACACATTACTCCACCCTCTTCAACCTGAAAAAAAACTTCCAGCAGCTCCTCCTGTAGAGTCTAATCCAGTCCGACTACTTGTAAAAGCTGCTAAAATCTTCAGTAGCGTCCATTTTGTGGAGAGAGGATCAAAACAACATTTGGAGAGAAAACAGAGAGAATTACTGAAGTTATAGTTACCAGAATTTACTGACTGACTTAAGGATTAAAGGCATTTTAGAGGTGAAGAGGGCAAAAAACCTAATAGAGCAACTTCGGGATTTGTAGACTTTACTGTCAGCGTGTGATTTCAGGATTCAGACCTCCAAAATGAGTCTCTCTGAGGAACAGGACACACAGGAAGCTGAGAGGTGAGAGAATAATGTGATCTGGTGTAAAGTGAGTTTGTTCTCTAGTTCACCACCATGTAAGACAGTTTGTCTGGTATTGTTTGTGTTTTAGGCTGAATCAGGGTAAGAGATCAGACCCACCTGAACCCAGCTGTGTGTCCATGAAGAGAAACTGGTCGAAGGGTGAATTAATGCACTTCAGAGGTGATGCCAGTTCTACTGAGTTCAGGTAAGAATGGTGTGAAACTGAAGAGTGAGATTAAAAGATGCTCCTACTTTCTCTCTGAACTCCTGTGTTTGTGTTCAAAAGAGAGCAGCAGAGTCACAAAAAACGTTTTACTGTATTCAGAGTTCTTTATTCTGTGTAACACAGAACTTCACATGGAAAATAGTATACACATTACAAACATCAAAGACCAGAAGATTTTTCCTTTCTTGCCAGTCAGTGAAGTTTATGTGCATTTGTTTTTATTGTTGTTATTAAAGCGTCCAAACAAATTTATATCAGTGTAAAACGAAACTGCCCACAGCTAATTTGTCTTTGTCTAAAGATGGTTATTAATAGTTACTTATAAAAAATATTTATAGCAACATGCAGATCAGATAGAACTTCTATTTAACAAGAAGAAAAATGAATTTCTACACGGTAAAATACTACTACTAGTACTACCAGTACTGAAGTACTACTCGCACCTGAGATTTTCACTCACCTTCACACCTGTGTAAATGTGATGTAACAATAAACGTGATTTGATTTGAGTTGATTAAATAGCTGTATGTGGGCTGTAGGGGATGTGATTGGCAATGATGTAATAGTAATGATTTAATGAATTTGGTCTATTTTAACTAACTGGACATTAACGACTCATTTGGAAAAACAAGCTTTCAAAACAACAGAAAATGAAACGAACTGAAAGTGTGAGTACGCTGGTCATCTTTGGATTCAGCTTTAATTCTCTGCTCCAGCACTGAAGTCATCAACTCCCTCTCTTTCTCCCACATGTTGTGTATTGTCTCTACACGAGTTAATACTTCAGTAAATATACACAAAGATTCACTGACCTGTGTAGGACTGAGAGAGAGGAGGTTTGGGGGTTAAATCAGTTTCACACTTTAAACTCTCTTCTTTTATCTAATATACAGTAACATGTGCACTTCACCATCATCATCTCTTCTGTTTTGTATGAAGTGCTGCCTCTACATCATACACAGTCCTGTTTGTGAAGCTGAATCTCAGATAGGAATCAGTCACTGAATCAGTGATGAGTGTCAGTGTTAACGTTACTGAATCAGTGCTCTGATACCACAAAGTTCACCCTGAATTAATATTGAAGCAATAATGAATAGTTTAAGTGTATTTTTTCAGATTTTTCTGATGTGTGACTTTCTCTTTAACAAAAAAAAAAATCATTGCATGCAGTTCTAAATGCAGCTACATGAGGGCACAGAGACTCCTCTGAACTCCTGACCTGCTTACTGTGGAGCAGTTGTGGGGAAATCTGGAAGTGCGAGCCGGTTCTCGACGACCAGACGTTCTCCTCAGCTCATTTATCAGTCAATGATTTTAACTTTCTGTACTTTTTGTAGTTTCATGGCCAAAGTTAACCCATAGTTTCATTGTTTTGGTGCAATGGATATATTTTAATAACAACTATTTATAAGTAGTGTTGATGTCTGAATTATTTATAGTGTAAATAGTAAGTTGTAGTTCTACTGTAATGTTCGTATTTACTTGTTTGATATATTACACTGATTATTTTAAATCTTGGCTGAAGCGGAACATTTAACCCTTTAATGTTCTGCTCAACCATTTGGTAGAGCACATTTTGAGTCACTATATGTGCCACAAAGTGCCATCTCAACCGTTTGGTAGACATGAATATTTTTAAAATTGTGGGGTCAAAAAAACGAAAAAAAGCACCAACTGTTTTTATTATTGCCCCAAACAAATAAAAAATACAAAATATGAAAGTCCATTGCTTTTTTCTTGGTGAGGACATTAAAGGGTTAAGTTAAACACTGCCAGCTTTCACTTTCAGCTGTGTACAAATCAGTTCCAGAGAAAATAACATTGTTATTGCTTGTAAGTGGTGTTTTTTCTGTACCTCAACCAAATGACAACTTAGCTTAAATGTGTAGCTTCATACTGCTTTCAAGAGGTTTATTTCAAAGTTTATTGCTTTGTTTTATTTTACATGAAGACAAATATGTGAATAGGTTTTATGTGTATTAATGTCTGTGTGTCATACCAGCTATTGTTTCTTTTACCATAACTCATTAAACTATGCAGTATTTCAAAATAAGCGCAGTTTCCTGTTTGAGATCTATTCAATAGGTTCTCTTTCTGTACTGTATCCATTTATTTCATCCTTTTTGTCGGTCTCCAATAGTATATAGTACATCTGTATTTTTTAAATGAACCCAGCCTACTGTGACTTCACTTCCATGGAGTGACATCACATTTGGTGTGAATTTCTATGTAAATCTGCCTCCACCTTGTTGTGTTTATACACAAAGAATGTTATAGTCAAACAGACGTCCTTCAAATCAAATCAGCAATTAAACATTCAAATGATTTTATGGTATATGCAAACGAGCTCTGCAGTCTCTGCCTCTGTGTGGTGTGAGTGATGTGGTTGCATGACTGCAACAACAGCTGCTTGACTGCTACAACAGCTGCGTGACTGCAACAACAGCTGCGTGACTGCTACAACTCACATGCATTGTCCATTCACACGTACAGCGTTTGTACAGTGGAGAGGTGCAGGAAGAAAAATCTACAGACATTCTTTTTTTCAAACCAGTAAATAGTAACATCAGTCACTTTAATCAATAGAAGTATAATTCTTAAAAGAGCACATAACATTTGTTTACCCTCGACACTCTAAATGGTGATTGGGCAACCGTTTCAAGCCTGATAGACTAAATGAAAGAATTTACGTTTTTCAAATTTTGTGTGGTTTTCCATTTCATTTTCATTGACTCCTATGGCTTATTTCATTTTATTTTGCTGCATGATGTGCAGGGAAAAATTGGCTCCTCGCCTCTTCCCTAAATACCGCACTGCTGGGTGGCTCTGCTGCTTTGCTCCCACTGTCTGTGTGAAAGCTCTGACCTCTTTACATGAGCGCCAAAATGAAAAAGAAGACTTTCTGGGTCGCTCACGCCAGGCAGAGGTAGTATGTGTGAAACATCCCTTACAATGTCAACATCAATGGGTGTGGTTAAACTACTGTAGGCTGAATAGGCAGATAAACTGCATGTAAATGTGTTTGTTTTGCATGACATCACACAAACAACACATTCAAAATGGGCTGTTTTGCATCCTACTATTATAAATAGGGTTGAAAATTGTATACGTTTGTGTGATATGGTGATGTGCTCATGTATCTTTAATACTTATACCAGGTAAAGTTTTTGTCCCTAACAAGATAAAAAAACTCATGATTCATTAATGGAAGTCTGCTTTTAAAATATATTAATAAAAATAAACCAAGAAAATATTTCACACAAAATAGATCACTTATGGTAACATTTTCTTAATATTAATACTAACAGTTTTAGTAAACAATTAATAGAGTAATATAAGTCATGAATAAATTATTAGATCATAAGAATTTCACATTAATTTGAAAACATGTAAATGTTTATAATTGACAGTTCATGTTGTTGGTGATATGTTGGTGATATGTGTTCATGATGTTTCTCTGCACAGTAACAACAAACCCCTTATAAACAATGTATTTTACAGCATCAAGTACTGAACTATTTAACTTACTAATAGTGATAATAATGATGTAATGGCTAAATAATGAGATGTCTTATGACGTTATGACTCCAGTTAACAGGTGTGTGTGCAGCATGTATTCTTTAGTCCTAGACATTTTTGCAGCAGCTAAAATAAAGTTGAATCTATACACAACAATTTAAATAGCTTCCTTTGTCTTGTATAGAGCTGTAATGCTCCAAACAGGGCAACATCATTTAGGCTAAGAATTGATTTAGCAGTGTCTCTTAACAGGTTAGGCTGCATGTTTTTCAAAACTGCAGTTGTTTGTCTGCTAAATGTGTCCAAGGCACACAAGGGCACAGAGACTCCACTGAACTCCTGACCTGCTTATTATGGAGCGGTTTGGACTGTGGAGAAATCTGGAAGTGCGAGCGGCTCACAGCTATTATTCAAATTTAAACAGACGTTCTCCTCAGTTCATGCATGAGTCTAGTGATTGTAACCTTTTAAGACCGTTTTTGTATATTTGAGTGTGGTTTCATGGTCAGTTATAGTAAATGAACCCACAGTTTACTTGTGTAAGTGTAATTGATACATTTTAATATCAGCTATTGATTAGCAATATTCATGTTTTGATATTTGTAGTGTAAATAGTGAATTTTATGTTTATTGTAATATTCAGTGTAATATTGTAATAATAGTACAATAATCTTAAATCTTGGCTACCATTGAACACTTAAGAACTTAAACACTTTCAGCCGTGCACAATAAATAAGAAAATAAGATGATCACTGCTTGTTAGTGGTGGTAGGTGATTCTACATGGTAATGTGTGTGTTTTCGGGTCTTTATTGGTCAAATCTGTGAACACAGCTGCAGCACAGAGCTGTGTGCTCTCCCCTTGACATCACTTCCTTTTTACCAGTGACTGCACCTCCAGAGTCCTGTCCAATCAACACTGGAGTCACGAGAGTGGAGGAGATCTTCAAGACCATGAGGACACCATCTCACACACACACACACAGATATGAGAGCACAGAGAGGCTCCTGAAGAGCAGCTGAATGAGCTGAAACTCTGCTGCTTCCTGTGTTGTATTAGTGTGAAGTTTCTGAGATCAGGATTTTGCTTTCATGATGTTTTTACTACATTTAAACAGTCAGTGCTCACCATGCTGGGACATCATGTCTGTCAGTTCCTTGTGTGGCTGTATAGAAGTTTCTAAACATCTGCTTTAAAAATGTACATAAGAGTTTAAGACAGATTGGGCTGTTAAGCAGCTTGAATAGGTGAACTAAACAGTAACAGATCAATATCAGAGAAATGAAGAGCTTTTTAAATATAACATCATTGACGTACATAGAATGTAGTTTTTGTCTGTCAGAAACTGAAGACTTTCAGCCATGATGTTCAGTTTCAGATGATACTTCCTCATTACTGAAGGTCACTGAAATGTAGCGCTGCCCTGTTTGACCTGTGGACGTCTTAGCTTTGACTAAGGGTCTGAAAATGGGGCCTCTAGACTTAAACTGGACTGGATCAGGCAAATAAACCATATTCTATTTTTCCATAAGATGTTCTTTTATTACATATCGCTTCTGTTATGACAGATTCCTGTGATTATCTTGATTATGAATAATATTCATGTAGAGTTTAATTCTAGTGTCGTTTGTGCCAGTAGAAATATTTGATTACAGTAAAATTTGATGTACTTATTATTGGACTGTTCAACTTTAATTCTTCCACAGTTCATGTTTCATTAAACACAGACCGATTCTGACCATGTAGTGTATTTCTGTATTTCATTATCTTGATGAAACCTTTACTCACAGTAAGTGTATTAGAGGCAATGAGATCCAAAAAAGAAAAAACTTTTATTACAGCCTGTAAAATATTGCTATAATCAGCATGTAATTACTTGTAGTAAACAATAAGTAATTATAATAAAGACTTATTTTTTCTACCATAAATAATGATTACACAACATTTTTTAGTGTCGTCTTAATAATTAATCTTGGCAGAAAGAGTTTTTTAAACTTTTTCTCCACTGTGTGTTCAGTTTCATTACTACACCTATCTTTCCCTGAAGTAACTATGCACTGAAACCCTCTTTGTGACCATCTGTGTTGTTTTTAAGAAATTAAAATTAATTTAAAAATATAAATATGTTGTTGATAATAAGCTGATATGGTGATTATGTGCAGATCAGATTTAGATTTGAAAAATAAGAAGGTGTCAGATAAGAAGGGATCAGATCATAAATCAGCTGAAAACCTTCAGATAAACAAAAATGCAGTGAATTACAGAAACATCCATAAATCTGTTTCACATCTGTGGAATAAAATTAATCTTTTTGTCTGTTTATTTGAGTTCAGCTCCTTACTGCTTCTTGTAAAGGCTTGGTCTGGGGTTGGGTTGTCTGTTATACTGATTTCAGCCAGTAGAGGGAGGCACAGAGTGTCTCCTTATTAATAAATGACAATGAATGACGAGCAACATCACCTGAGCCTGGCCTTACTTAAGAGGAGCTCTCAGTCACCCTGGTGAGCAGCTGCACTCAATCCTGAACTGAGCCTGACCACCTGCCACAGTCGTCCTGCACAATAGAATATGTGGGTTTGATTCCACCTCAGGCCTGTTGACCTGTTACAACTTCTAAAATCAATCTTCAAATAAGATCTATTGATCACTGCATTAATCAGATCCACTTACATTCTGAAAACGCTGATGAAAGATCTGTTAAAGTGCTGCTGTGTAGGAACACAAGAGAGACGTGTAAGTTGTTTTGTCTGAAAGGTGGGATTGAAGGAATTTGTAAGTTGCTTAATGTGAAGAGGAGAACATCTATTATCTGACCTGTAAAACTTACTCTTTACTTACTTTTAAAAAATAAAGTAATTCATTTCTGTGTGCGGCTCTGTTTTTCATCTGGTTACAGCAGCTGCAGGCAGAGTGATCCACCATAGAGTCTGTCAGGCAGACTGTCCAGCAGGGGGAGCCACAGCCCACCTCAGCCCCTCCCAGCAGCCTCCTGGAGCTTCAGTCTCACACACTGATCAGTAAAACTCCCACTACTGATCTGGAGTGAGAGCTGGGAGGCTGCAGGAACGCTGCTGTGAGTTTCCTCACTGGTCATGTTGCTGCTGCAGGATTTCTCTCTGTAAACTGTGATAAAGACCACAGGAGAATCAGCTGGGCTTCATTCAGTGATCCACTCATTACACTGTTTTATACTGACATTTTATCCCTCAGAATCAACACAGAACCTGTTCTTATACAATACAATCCCATCATGATCCATTTCAGACTCCATAAGTCTTTAATCAGCATCATTAGTCTATAAACTGAGTCTCTTTAACATCAGCTTAGTCTATTAAACTCACAGCACTGTGACTCTGACACACTGACAGTCAGCTCAGGGTATTAAACTCACATCCTGGAGGGCAGCAGCACTAAAGGAGGAAGTGAAACCAGCCCCGCCACCACCACCCCCCACCCAGCTGAACACAAACAAGCAGTTT